CGCCCCGCCCGGTGGAGGCGGGACATCGCCTCCAGAATTCATCACGTTCTGCCACAGCAGCCCTTGGTGCCCCTGTCTCCATGTCTGTCACCCTTGCTTTCATCCTCAGCCACAGAATTCTTCTACTGTGGACAGGAAAATTGTTCCCATTTATCCTGTAGTTCTCTAGTTACCTTTTCTCTAAGGTGTGCAGGACCCACGTGAGGAGGCTGTGATCCTCTGTCAGCTCATAGGCAGCTCTGGTGACACAGGCATCACTTTGCAGTATCTCCAGAATATGACTCTGAAACAGAAGATGCCATTTGTTCTTTTACAGCCAAGATCTAATTATCTAATTGAAAATGAGCAATTTGGCTGGTATCTGATCAACTTCCAGGTAAAATGAACACCACCTGTTCTCAGGAACTCCAGACAAGGAAAGGCACTCATCCTTCAACACTTCATACTACAGGTGCTGGTCTTACGAAAAGTATTCCGTTAGCAAGAAAATGTTCTCTTTTTCTCCAAGGTTTTGATACCTGAAATACTCAGGGTGGATGCTCCCAAACCTGAGAGCTCCTGGCATGTCAGTTTCCCTCCTGCTGAAGCACTGTTCAGGTAACAAATCTGTGGACTGGGGAAGAGAGACCCCAAAAAGAAAACACCACAACTGCAGGAGCAAAACCACGGCACCCACATGAGGCTCCATGATGGCAGGAACCTGTTCCAGTTTCAGGGGATAAGGATGGGACTGGTTTAGAAACAAGCAATAATTTCCCCCTCCACACATACACAAAACCAACAAAGAACAAATTTTCAAGAGGACCAAGGCTGAGTCAGCAGCTCCTTTCTGTTTGGTATTTGAGATCTTGAAGCCACAGAAGCTTCTGTGGTTTGGGATTTTTTGAAACTTTCTATTAAAATTCTTACCTAGGAGCCCTTGTAATGCAAAGGACTGTTGAAAAAGGACATAGGTTGTCCAATGTGACACTGCAAAGTCCTTGAGGAGGGCAAGCCCCGCTCAGCAACATCCAAGCCATCCGTGTGCTATCTACCACATTCCCGTCCTGAATCCAAACGCAGCTCTTTGTCGCTCCCTGGGAAGAAAATGGATCCTATCCCATTGAAAACCAGTACATCACCATTCTTCACCCAGCACACCCTGTCTCTGTTTGTCTCACACCTGGACACCTGCTCCAGATGTATTCTGCAAGGAACAGGATCAAAACGGCACTTAAAACCCTGAAATAGAACCTGCTTTGCCTTCTCATCATCCATGAGACCAGGCCAGGACATTGCTGCTGTTTCTGTGCTGCTGGAAGTCTGCTGTGAGCTGCAGTTGAGGGATCTGTGACCTGTGGATGAGCCCAGACAGGAGCAGGACACCCCCAGGCATCAGTGGCTGGGAATAAGCCCATGGCAGAGCAGGAATCTCTCAGAGTACCTGTGGCCATGGTTATGTCCATGCCCAAGAAGGGATTGTGGCCCAGGGATAAACCTGAAGCCTCTGTGGCTGTGGATTAGGCCGTGCTCAGCAGGTAGCCCTCGAAACATCAGTGCCTGTGCATGGGGTCTTGCTGGAGCACCTCAGAGCCATGGTCATGGATGAACTCCCCTGGCAGAGCAGTTACAGCCTTGGGGGTACTGCAGCCGTGGTTCAGGCCACATCCTTTTCTTTAGTGGGGATGGAAAACTTCATTCCCTATAGTTTGTATAAAATCATGTTTGTAAAAATTTAAGGTTCTAAATTCTTAGATTCAGGACAAATAAAATACTGCTAATTTTCCTTCAGCTATTTATTTTCTTGTGGCATGGCTATCTTACAGAGTGACTAAAGGATACAAAAGGCGCTCTTAAAAATGAATTTCAAGAGGTGAATTTCAAGAGCTCCTTGGAATTCTGTTTTCCAAGGAGAATCAAATAAAGAGGGATCATAGTATGACTAAGCAGCTTGTGACAAGCTTGGTTTAAGCTTTTTAAAAATTATTGGATATAAATATACTGTTAGTTTTTAAAGTAAAAAAGTGTAAATCTGATGTTTTGTAGAAGCAGCTGAATGAATTGATCTTCCTGGCAGGTTTGGCTGAGTTGCATTGGTGAGTGTGAGTTTTGGTTTTGTTGCAGTCATCCTGGAGAGGATGGTCTGGGCAGGAGAAAAAGGCTCTCTGCAAACCTAGAAAACAAATGTATCTTGTAGCTGGGCTTTGTTTCAGAGCTGGATCTACACGCATCCTTTCCTTATGCAGCCTTGGAAATTGCATTGCTCCTTTGCTGTTAATGACAAGGTTATTTAAATATTGCAAGACAATCCGGACTCTTGAATCATGGTAGCCTTGCACAGCAGTTTGTTCTAGGCTATGAACTAGTAAGAGTTGCAAGAATTATGAAGCATAGTGACAATTAAGGTTTGCAGAAAGAGCTCAAACAAACTTTTTGACCACTGTAGAAAAGTTACTGAAGAGTTGATGCATTCATAGCTAGCAGAGAAGAGTCAAGTTAGGAAACTTTCTTATTTAAGCAGGATATAGGGGGAAAAAAGGCAACAGAAGGGCACTTCCAGAAGCCATAAGCACAGCAGCAATTGGAACTGGGAGCTGCCAGCTCCCAGTCCATGACTCTAAGAATTACACGGTGATGCCACAGGAGAAGACACTTGGTGTGGTGCTGGACAAGATCCGGCACAGCAAAGGCAGATCTTCCCATCTCCAGGGAATTGTCTGGCATCAGCAGTGCCTGAGCAGGAAGAGGAAGATCTCCCCAGTTTGGTTGCCTGTGGCACGAGTCTCCATCCCTCCTCCCAGATCCCCTGTGAGAGCTGCCAGACTGCAGATGGAGGAAGCCCTTGGGACAGGAGTGCCTTTTCCCTCAGAGCCATGGCTATCAGCAGAACCTGCTCATCCCCGAGGACGCATCTGGCAGGAAAATCCAGAAAGGCAAAACGGAGGCCAAGGCCAGTGCAGAAAGGGTTTCCTGCAGCCAGACACACAGCAGCCATTTCCAGGAGGCAGTTCCCTGTGCGTGGTTCTGAAAATGATGCGGCCGTGCCACACAGGAGCATACCCGTGGTGTCGTGCTGCACAAAGATCCTCCAGGAGCAAAGGCAGATATTTCCACCTCCAGGGCACTCTCAGGCATCAGCAGTGGAGAAGAAGAATAATGAGGATGGATTCCAAACTTCAGCTGTTCCTGGCAGGAGACTTCAACCTACCCAGAACCTCGGTGAGAGGTGCTGGAGTCCAGAGGGAGCAAAGCCTTTGGACAGGTGTGCCTGCTCCCTCAGAGCTGTAGGTGTCAGCGAACCTGCTCCTCGAGGATGCAGATGGCCAGGAAATGGCCAGAATGAAAAAGGGGAGTGCAGCTCTCTTCAAGGAAGCTGCGCTGAGATGGCCTCCGCCTTCCAGGAATTTGTTTAAGGAAGGAGGTCAGATATTCTTAGGAATATTGGTGTTAAATAAATCAGCATTTTCCCAGAGAACTGTCTGAGTGTTCCCACTATTCTGGGTTTGACTGGGATTCCTTTCTTCCCAGAAACTGGCACAGTGCTGGGTTTGGATGCTGGATGGGAATGCTGTGGATCCGCAGGTGGAGAGTTTGGTTGTTGCTAAGCACAGCTTGTCCACCTCAAGGACTCTGCAGGGTCCTAGAAGCCACTCCGTGTCCCATGCTCTGCCCTCGAGGAGGTGACAAAGAGCCTGGAGGGAGCATGTCCAGACAGCCAACCCGGACTGCGCAGAGGGATGTTCCAGACCACAGTGTGTCCTGCTGAGTCTGACAGCTGAGGAAGCTGGTCAGGAGAGGCTGATCGCTGGTGGGATTGACTGGCCATGAGGCAGAGGGCGCTGAGCACTTGTGTTGGGCATTACTGCTCAATCCTGGGCTTTGGTCCTCTGGCTCCTTTCTCCCCAGCTTCTTCCTCCTTCTTGTTTGTATTCAGCTTCCTGGTTTTCTTCTCCTCCTTCTCCAGGTCTTCTTCTCAGTCTTTCTTATCTTTTTTTCCTTTGTTTGTTTTTAATTCTCTTCCTTTTTTTTTTTTTTAGTTTTTTTTCCCTTTTCCTTTTTTTCCTGCCCCGCTGCTGGAGGCTGAGCCTGTCTATCTGTCCTAGGGCTCCTTTTGGCATCTGCACATCCCTGAACATCTCCATTGGATGCTGCCTTCCCCTGGGAAGGCCCTTGTCTATATAACAATGTGTGAAATGAAACTATAGAGATTATTTTAAAAAGGGATATTTTAATGAAAGCATTGCCCTTATAGTTCTCATAGAGACCCCAAAAAAAACAGTTTCCTTTCAGATTCGCAAGGCATTATTCCATAAATTATATTAAATGCATACACCCTAATAAATGAGCCTAGGGTGAAGCATTAATTTAGACTATGGTGGTTATTCTACAGTAACTTCTCCTGTGAGCAGTCATCCCAGCCTCTGACTCTGGCAAAAGACTGACAGTCCAGAAGAAAGCACTCATCTTCCAAAGAGAGGCTTCCCACTCAGAGAAGTTTTCCCAGAAGCATTATTTCAGGTCATGTTTTCTCCAGACAACAGGTCTCAACATTTCCTGTGGGCTCCATGCACGACTTAGGATGGTGCAGACCAAGCTGGTCAAGCGCCCAGCCCTGCCTCCCATTTCATAGGAAGAAAGAAAAAGAGTTCAGCAGGGCTCAACCTGAAATGATATTTTGTAGCTTCTGGCTCTCCTCAGAGCTCTGGTAAGAGAGGAAGGTCTCTGTCCCTGACACCCACTGCCCCTTAGAATGCACACATGGACCTGTGTGTCACTTCAAGAGACACCAAGAAGCCCTGCCACTTTGCAAGGACAGCTGTTATTCCACTGCTGCATTTCTTGGCTGGGCAAAGCCCCTCCTACCCACATTATGGCCTGAGCTTGAAGATATAAAGTACCACCCTGGAGGGCAGGCATGAAAAGCTTGACAAAGGCTGAAGGCAGCACTCTGATGGCCCCTTTTCCCAAGACGTTCCTTTAGGTTCAGTTGCCGACAAGGACCAGCCCCTTGACACACCGCAATGGGTTTGCTGTTTTATTTTTCGGGTCCTCAGTCCTGCGTGGGACTCGGTTAGTTGGTGCTGCAGAGGCTCCGGCAAGGCATCAAAAACGCCGGCCCCGCACCCAAGGGTGGTGCGAGATCTCGTCCAGCTCCGGCCTGTCCGCAGGGTGCTTGGCCAAACACCATCGGATCAGGTGCTGGAGCTCTGGGGAGAGAAGCCAGAAAGCGCCGGTCAGCGGCAGAGTCTCCTGGCCAGCTGCCCCCGTCGGCACGGGCCCCTCCTGCGGCCGGCCCTGGAGGGCAGAGCCACGTCCCGCCGAGCTGCGTGAGGGCCGCGCCGGGCTGAGCGCCGCCAGCTGCCAAAGCCGCCGGCTTGAGGCCGGACACCCACCTGGAGAGAGCTGCTGCCGGAAGACGAGCTTGCCCAGCACGATGTCATGGTCGTCCTGGAAGGGGAGGTTGCCACAGACCATGACGTACAGCAGCACGCCCAGGGACCAGATGGTGGCTGCGTGGCCGTGGTAGCAGCCGAGACAGATCCACTCGGGCGGGCTGTACATGCGCGTTCCTAGGGGAGACAGGCAGTGCTGGCCGGGCGCAGGCTGCTGCCTTCCAGAGCCCGGCGCCAGCCTCCTGGCCCAGGCAGGGGCCGCACCCACGGCCACAGCTTCCCCCCGAGGCCACCCCGCATCCCCCGGCCAGCTGGCCAAAGGCACGAAACCATTCCGCGAGGCCAAGAAGGCCAGCGGAGCAGCAAAGGCCCTCGTGGGCCCGCTGAGCCCAGGGGCCAGGAGCCGCTTTTGCCGCCCCTCTGTCGGCAGGGCCGGCGGCCGGCTCCTGGGGCACGGCACCCGCCCCGTGCCAAAGGGCGGCCGGCTGAAGGCCACAGCCCGCGGCCCAGGAGGGAAGGGGGCCGTGCAGTGCCTGGCACCGGGAGCAGGGCCCAGGCCATGGGCTCACCGGCAAACCCCGTGAAGGCCCGCTCTTGGAGGAAGGTGCCGCAGCCGAAGTCGATGAGCTTCAGGTCGCCGCTCTCCGGGTCCACGAGGAGGTTCTCCGGCTTGATGTCCCGGTGCAGGACGCCGCAGGCGGTGCAGTGCCGCACGGCCTCCAGCACCTGGCAGAAAAGCCAGCGCGCCTGCACCTCGCAGAGGCACCCCTGCTCCTGCAGGAACTCCAGGAGATCCTGCGATGCCTCCGGACGCTCCAAGACCAGCACGAAGCTATCGGGAAGCTCAAACCAGTCGAGGAGCTGGATGATATTCTGGCAGCCAGAGCCCACCTTCTCCATCAGCACCACCTCCAAGGGCACGCGGGTGCCGTCGGGCTGTGAGCAGGAGAAAATCAGTGCCTGCGCCAGGCTGCTGCTGCTGCTGCTGCTGCTGCTGCAGCCCTGGGGCTGCGCTGCGCCCTGCCCGGGATGCCCCGGTGCCCTCTGGCGCAGCCTCCCAGGCGCTTGCACTTCCCCCCACTCGGGGGATGCTCGGGGGGCCCTGCCCGGCCCCAGCACCGCTGTTGGCCGTGCCCGGGCCCGCGGGGCTGCGGCTCCGCACGCCGAGCCCGCCCCGGGATTCTCCCTGCCCGCCGCGCCCCGCTCTGTCCCGCTGGCCCCGCTCGCTCACCAGCTCGTCCCACTGCAGGACGCTCTCCCGGTCCACGCGTTTGATGGCCACCTGCGAGCCACGGAGAGAGGAGGGCTGAG